CATTCAGGGATTATTTATTTTCATGAGCCTTTACCTGCAAGTATTCCACCAGCTGGAGCAGCATTGGTTCTGGGGGAAGTTTTGCAGCTCGAGTCATCAGCTTCTGCCTGATAGTGTGACACTGAATCTTCGACAAGTCGGTGGTGGAGATGGAAATATGAGGAGGACAGGAAGGGTAGCTGGGGTCTAGATGGAACACTGCGCTCACATTCAGCTTCCTGCCTCTCCCACCAGTGCAGTTGAGCTGGACCATCAGCCCATCTTGTGCTACAAAAAGACAAGTTGTCACACTTGGAATCAATTTTTTTGAAAAGAGGTTTATAAACTCAATGGGTTTTTAAAATCCATTGAGTTTATAAACCTCTTTTCATCAGTGTAAAAGAGGAAACTACAAATACAACACAAAAAATACACAGAACATCAGCCTTGGTTTTTTCAATATAACGTCTGTGGAGAGAAAATGAAAAGAAAAACAATTGAAAAAAGCTCAAAAATTAACATGCAACAATTTATTGCAATTATTGTACACAAACGGGAACAGCAGATACTTTTAGATTATAATAAATGTATATATGGGAGAGTACTATTAGTATATGCAATCTTTTGAGTCAGATAATTATCTAAAGTTAAGGAGTCATAGGTATCATGGAATATAATTATTGTTGATATTTTCATATTTTCAAAAGAACATAATGTTGGAACGGTAGTAACCCATAGGAGGTAACTGGATGTGGGTGGTTTGGTTTTCTATCACAGTATTATTGTTACATCTTGCATACATTTTTGCGCAGAAAACATAAAATTCTGCAGGTAACTGTTTGGGCAGCTCAGTGGCAGCACAAAGGTGTTTATACAGAATTCTTAATTCTGATATCTAAAATTGTACATTTAACTAGTCATAATTACGTTCCAGATGTCTAAAATTGTAATTATGGACACGTGTCCCGTCAGATCCTGTGAAGTAACTGAGATATTTTGAAAGAAATTTTGGACTGGAAGATATTTTGAGTTATTATTCTTACTACTCAGAGTATAAATGCAGATATCTTAAATTTATGTTCCAAGTAGTCACAATGTAGTTTTGTGTAGTCAAAATACATTGATTGTATCTGGAATGTAATCAGGGATAATCAAACAAAACCATTTTTTTGTTCAAACAGCCTGCCGTACTTACAAAGCAAGAACAACCGACGTACCAGACTGTTGGACAATTCGGAACTCTCCGTCTCTGCAGTAAATGGACGATAAAACTGAAACTTCCTCAATAGCTGCGTCCGACATGATCAACGTTCACATGCTCTGTCGCCCACAGCAGCTTCATAAATAGCCATATTTTAAAGCTCTACATTCGATGTGTGTTTTTTTAGATTTGTTTACTTCTCATTACTGTCCGGTTTTATGAATTGAGTTGTTTTAGTGTTTACTGGTAACCAGTTTCCTTTGACATTAGTGGCTGCTGCTGGTTATGTTTATCTCTGACGTTGCAGAACCAAAGGACCCCGGTTAGCTGTCCTCGGTGACGCCGGACTCTAAATGTAGCAATACAGAATGGGCAAATGTAATATTGTGTGGTAAAAATGTCTCTTACAAAAGTTGGGGACGTACTGATTTAATATATTGATTTAATATCAAAGTATTCATTAAAGGAAATAAAAGACTGCTCACCAGTTTTAGTGATGTCTTTTAAGTGCTAAATATAATTTAACAAAATTAGCCATAAGTTTTTTTTTGTTGTTAAATTACAAAGTCAATCCATGCAAAGTAAATTGGGGTGTCTAATTGAATCAGGGCTTCTCTTTGTTTACTAAACGCCTGAAATATGGAGAATTGTATATTCTATGGTGGTAGCCATAATCTAACTGAACCCATTATCCTTACATCACACCTATGCTACATGAAACAGCCTTGCATCCAACGGGGAATTGCTTTGTCTGTTATTTCAACATTGACTCACAAACAAACAAATTCAGTCCAGAACATTTGATTATGACTTGTAATACAATTCCAGTGACTGTGAAGAGCCTTTTCAGAAACTTTATTACATTTAAATATGCATTTCCAAGCCTTTAGAGTGTTTCTGTGCTGCTATATTGGAGGTACTCAGTGTGATTAATAAAGTGGTTATAAGTAAAAATTTGTCTCAGGTGCTTTTGTTCATTTGTCCATCCATGACTGATTAGATTATCTCTGAAGTACAGGATAGTAACACACTTGAGCAACATTTTGGGGGAAAAAACCCTTTTTGGTTTAGGTTTTCTGCATCATGTTTTTTTTTTTTTTTTTTTTTTTTTTGCTTTTACTTGAGTAATATTATTATGAAGAGTTGCTACTGTTGCTTAAGTAAAATTTCTGGAATAACTTCACAGAGTGAAAACCAAACATGTTTCAGGCAAAAATGCACCAGACATATACACACCTGCAACTTATGTTCAAATGAGACCCGTTGCTATTATATTATAATTTAGTCTGTCTGATTGCATCATTTTAATGATCAGTTGCTCAGTAACTAAGTAGTTTTTTTTTTTTACCAAATACATTTTTCATTAACCTCTTACTTGAGTAACTTCCTACATGGCTTATATTTATTTTTACTTGTTTTATTTTTTACTTTTTTGGGGGAAAATGTGACAGAAGCGAGGTTGCCATTCAGCATTGCCACCAGGCCCTCTGACCACCAGCAGCAGGCAATTGAATTGTCTTCCCCAAGGACACAACGACAGAAGGGGGTGTTGAACTGGCAACCCGCCAGTCACAGGGAAAATTTCTCCCGCTATCACCATCGTTATCCCAATAAAATGCATCTGTTTGCAGAAGCATACATATTTGCAAAAACATATTACAAATACATTTGAAATGGTACAAATAGCTAAATTGAATCTCAGCCTAAACAAACTTCCTCCCTGCTAGCAAATTCAAACAGACGACCTGAAACCCTATCAGTATGTTTACAGTACAGAATCCCTGTCTCCCCATCACTGTGCCTGTTTGCTACATCCTAAATATTAATATAGAAAGAAGCTTATTAAAGTTGTGAACATCACAAAAAAACAAACAAAAAAATTTGAAAGATTTGCAGTAATAAAGAGAATTAAGTTTTACTCAGTTTAGAACAAAGCTGGGAGAATTATCAAAAACTGTTCTCAAGTAAGAGCAGCATTGCTTCAACAGGCAGCTGTGGTTGAATTCCTTTGGAATTTATAAAGTGCTGTACAAATACGAGACATTTAGAATTTTACTATTTTCTAACTTGGGATAGGGGAAAGAGTGTTGTTTTTTTTTCCAGGATGAGTCACAGACATTGTAGAGTAGATTTTGACACTTGATTAATAATTTAATCAGATTGTTAAGGAACATTCACTGAATGCATTAATTATACATCGTTCCTCTTTAGGTCCAAACACAATAACTTCAGTTTTGTTTCTGATCAACTAACAAAAGTTGCTGCACATCCAGACATTTGTCTGTCCTAAACATTTGATCTTATTATGAAGATCATAACTTTCTTTTCTTGAAGGTTATGAAATCAAGTTCACCAGTTGAAGGTTTACCACAACTGTGAATAAGATTATAGGTGTTATGATGCATGCAAACATTTTCCAAAAATAAATGTTCATAATAAATAATGAAAAATGTTATAGGAGCCATTGCATTTCAGTGTGAAGAGTAGTTGTCTTTCAAACCAAATGCAGAGGGCTTGAATTTGAAGCTTAGCCCCCAGTTTTATATTGATTAGTGTATGTGTGCTTGTTTGTGATTTCAACTGGATGAATGTGCCTCCAGGTGAGCAGTATGAGCCAGAAGTGCTATATTCATTCAAACAGTTAATAATTTTCCATTTTAATATTAGCACATAATGTCAAAACAATCCAACATTATGTCACACAGTGTTGCATGACTTACATGGTCAAAATCTGTTACCCCCTCTCCTTAATCCTGCTGCACCTTAATTTGAAGATGTGAAGGCAGAAAGCAATAGAGCTATTATACTTTCTTGTGATGAAATGTTGTAATAACAAAAATGTGACAAACTCATTCAAACCTTCTTATAGTGATAAGAAGGTTTGAATTAGGAGGTTAGTCTGGGATCAGTGATATATAAAGCTGATTTTGTGGAGGACCATCCTTCCAATAAATGCGAGGAAGAGGTTGCTATGGTGTTAAGTTATATTTGCAGTTCACAGAATTTCCGAGGGTGTGTTCAAGGTTTTCATTGTGATGGACTGACCCCAGACCTTCTCTGCATCCTGCCTATTTCCCTTTGAAAAAAGGACTAATTGAAAAATTAATTCCAGGTAAATGGTTATTCTACTCATCACACATACGTTTTAGTATATTACTCACTTTCACCAATTTTGGGGGCTGAAAACAGATATGATAAGACAAACCATAACCTTTTAAATGCACCTGGATTTGTTCATATTTGTCCCTGGAGTTATAAAAATAAATTGGATGCTTGTTAACCAAGAGATCGGAAGACGCAAAAAACATTTTTTCATTACTAGTAATCTATGCAGTCCATGAAGTAATCAAATCATTTTAGCTAACTTTACTTTGTTGCTTTCAAGCTTTATTTTTCTAATCTGCATTTTGTTCCATTGTGAAAGGACCTCACCAGAACATGTAAAAGCTGCATGTTTTTAAACAGAATAACTGATTGGTTAAGTATCTATCAATTTTTATGTCAAGGCCAGGAAGGTAATTAAACCAGAGGTAATAGCATCTCATCTTATATTATTATCTTCTATATTATCTTACAGATGTCATAGATAATATTGAAATACGAATTTCTATAAGTAAATCAAACTTTTAGCTCGAATGCTCCCTTCCAGTTGGCTGTCTTTGAGAAGAGTGTTTTCCAGAAGTTTGTTGCTGTTGTTATGGCTGATATCAGAAAGTCAAGCCGTCGTTCATTTCGATGAGAAAGAAAACGACGAGCTGCGATGGGGCCCGCTGCCCTGGCAACCAGATACAGGCTGCTGGCCATGTTGCCCCTCCTCAGATTCACGAGCGTAAAAAAGGGACCTGAACCGGAAACCAAACTTCTTTCTTGAAACTTTTTCTCCGAGGCAAAAGAGGAAAACGAAGCGACCATTGGTGTCACAGACTGCACAGTTCCCTCTTTTCAGCATTTATGACTATTGCTGGAAATGTGTCAGCTGCTCACCAGCAGGCAGCCGTTTCACAGCGTTTCTGAGCAGGACACTGAGAAAGACGTCGTGTGATTTTGGGCAAGTCTGCAGCCACATAACGGACCCGCTGCTTTATCATGGAAGATGTGAGTACTCACCTCCTCTGCCGTGTCGTGTTCTCGCTGCTTTTGCGTGTAATCGTCCGGACTGAGACTTTGACGCACTTCGGAGAGATTTGAAAGAATTCGTGTTGGGATGATAGAAAGCTCAAAAGTGAAACACACACATACACACGCACACGTCAGGGCGCGACCAACTTAAAGCTGTAAAGTTGGGGCCCAGAGAAGTGAATTGTAATCGGAACCATGTATCCCGGGCTGTTTCCGGGATGTTTCCTTTATTTAAACCCACTGAGCTTGTGCCACACAGGGAGCTGCCCACCTGTCAACCTGTTGCATCAGTTCGCTGGTAAACGTCCAGACAGGCAGCAGGAATGTCCGTTCAGAAAACGAGCATTTTTACTGTCGCCGTGTGAGAATGGAAAAAACTGAACACCTGGATCACAAAGTAGAATCTTTTAAACTCAGAGGACTGCGGGCACTTTCGGCTTGAGTTAAACTCCGGTAGAGTTGGCATTTTCAAAGCCCAACGATTCATTTCATCAGGTGAACTTAGGGAAGTTCTGTTCCTGCACAAGATGGGGAAACTGGGGTAAAGCCGGTGCCAAATACTTCCTCGATTACCCTTCATCAGAGACCGTGATGATCAACACATACATCCGGAAGACTTGGACAAGTTTTTAAATAAAGCTCCGTGTTTCACTAACAAACAACCAAACCGAGATTTCATGTGTTTTTAGACGATGTCTGCAGAAGCGCAGAGAACTTCTGGATTTGAATAGAAACTGATGAGATACAGGCCACACAGCAACCTGACATTTTGAGGAAGCAACTTATTAAAAACGGGAAGTAATGCAGAGACGTACCAGTTTCTTTTAGCGTATGCAGGGGGCTGCTTTCATCCACTTTCATGTGCAGAACCACACCCTGAGATGAAAAGTACAGGCAGAAACCAACTGCAACAGCATGGAGCTCCACATTCAAACCCAGGCACAGTTCTTATTCAGCAACTATCAGAAACATTTTATCTGGTAGCTTAAAAGCCATTTGACAGAAATGAAAATATCAGGAAGAAAACTGGGAAAAACGAGCCCCACCCTAATGTGACACCAGCATTTTGTTCTGATGAACTGATCAAGTGATCAGTAGCAGGCATAAACACCTCTATAAAAGGAGATGTTCGATTTAGAGCAGGTGTTTCCAAACTGTGGCTCAGGGGCCATTTATGGTCCTCAGAATGATTGTTTTGCAGCCTATGGAGAACAATTCATAAATAGCCTTTACTTTTAATTGGGGTGAAATTTTAAATAAGGCCAGGTGTTTCAAAATACTTGTAATTAAGATGAAAACAAAGCTATTCATCTATTATTAACCCGAGGTTTTGCTTTCAGTTTAAGGCAGTGGTTCTTACCCTGGGTTTGATCGAACCCCAGGGGATCGATGAGTCGATCTCAGGGGCTTGGCGGAGCCTCTGCCGCGGAGGTGAAGACACTAGAGTAAAGTTGTGATGACGTGCCCTGCTTGTCCATCACTTGCTGCAGAGGATCAAGTGACATTACTTGGCCTATCAGTGCTGCGGGAATTTAGTGTGCGTAGTCTATGGCTGTCGTAGTTGTATTTCGTGTGGTTTCTTTCTCAATATTTTAATCCATTCTAAACATGTCGAGTAAAAAAAGAAAGTCGTCAGACGAATATGTACAACATGGATTCACATGTATCACGGAACGGGATGGGAGTCAGAGTCCCATCTGCATGATATCCAATGCTAAGTTGAGCAACTCTAGGCTCGGACTGACAAAATTAAGGGAAGCTGCATAGAGACGGGGAAAAGTTAAAAAGTATTTTGTGGATTCAAAACGACAAAAAACTAAAAAAATTTAAAAAGGGCTGATGACCTGGGCCTGTTTATGCAGAAACAGACTAACAGGTGAAACTCGGCCCAAACTGGGTTGACAGCTGGATCATAATCTAAAACACAGCAACACATTCCAAACAGAATGAATAAAAATAAAAATGAAAATAGCCATCCAAAGTCCAAACTTTCACTTGAATTGACATTTGATGACTCACAATGAGCCTGAATTGAAACTGTGTGAAAAGGAACTAGTGACGGAGGTTTGTTGGTTCTGAAGAAGAGGAACATTGATTTGGAAGTGTGATTCACCCAGAAGTTCTCATACATTTATTAATATATTGGCTTCTCACTTTGAGACTGTTATGGTTTGAATGTTGGAGTATTCAACATGTCTCCATAACACTTAATTGATCTTTGGAATGTGGCAAGTTCTTTCTGAATCACTGTTGCGGTTCCCTTTCCCCCAACTCTGCTTTATCTTTTCCCACCAAACGCGATGCGACCCTTCCAGGCTGCTCTTTGTCTCGTCTGCAGCGCGCTGACCTGCAGTGCATGGCATGACGTGTCTGCCTCACTTGTTAGAAAAGAGCCAACAGACTGCCACTCTATGTGTTGGCTAGAAGACAATTAACCCTCTCTTGGGATCAGCCTCTACCACACAATGGAAGTGTGTGTGCAAGTGGTCTGACTGAGACTGCTTCCAGTTTCCAGGAAAAACAAGAGGATGAGCAACATGAAAGATCTGTGTCAGTTTCTGATTCTAGTCCTGGGTTGAATGGTGCAGGCAAGGAAAGCTTTAGTTCCTGTAATGTTTAGTTGATGGAGAGTTAAACACTAAAGTATGAATACACCAGTTAATTAGTGATACAAATGTCCCTTGATAATTTCTGAACAGTGATCAGCATCTCAAATGCTGGAAATGCAAATCTCCTGGTAAAGATTTGTTAGAAAATACAAACTACTAAAAGGAATATGTTTTGGATTGCTGTAGAATAATCAGACACAAGATCTTTTAAGAAGTGTTTCTTAGATGTGTTTATGGAGCATTGGTGAAACCAACATGCTGCTTTCAATCTGTCGAACATCTGTCGAATATTTACGTATCTATAAATATTCAACAGATCAAATCAAGTTCATTACAGTATTAGGTTTTTAGACTCAATGTTTATTTTGTGATTATTGCATATTGATAACTTAACAACTAAAACCAACTAATGATTGTTAACTATCATCTTGATTTAAAACAACTACTCTTGTTGTTTTAAGCTAACAATGTATTTAAAAAAATGTTCCAGTGCCACTGGCAGATTATTACAGTTATAACATGGGAAAATGTTTTAAGTGAAAATGTGGACTCTGCCAACAGATTCTTCTTTTTTTGCTGAAAAGTTACTGGTAAGTTAATTTTTCAGGTGCACTATAATATTTGCACCAGGGACTAGACCAAAAGTATTTGTTGTGTTTTTGTGTTTTTTCAGTGCAGTCAGCTGAAAACCCATAGCTGTGAGAACAGAACCGAACCCAGAACCTTCCGTCTTTGAAGAACCTCAGAGATTATTAACACAATGTTTTGGAACATGATTGGGTTTCTTGTGGTTTTCTTTCTGCTCCAGTAAATGAAGCCAGTGGTTATGATGTCATCCACTGGATTTTATGTCCAGCATTGTGCTGACCTTTGACACCTCTGTTCTCTTTCCTGTTAGTCTGTCATGAAGTTTGGGTCTGAAAAGATGCTCAGTGAAGGGTTTCTGTGAGCTTGTTGTTGCTTTGCTGGGTTCCTGCATTGATAACCTCAAGGTCGTTTGACAGTCACTCCAACAACCCTCCCACACCTCCTCAGCACCGCAAAACCACCTTGGATGCGTTGCAGAAGATCTGATGTGCTCACTAAGACTCAGCTGTGCATGCTTCCTCCCACCGCCTGGTGCTTACATGTACCTTCAAAATGGCATCAGAAAAACAGCTAAATATGGTTAAAAAGTTACTGACCTTGTCAGACTTACTCTGACTGGCACAGGAAAGTAGAGGACCCAAAGTTTATACGCAAGTAAGAGTAGCACTACTTCAGCATATTTTTACTTAATTACAGATGTAAGAGTTAAAAAAAAGTATTTGGCAAATAGTCAACTCAAGTACTGAGTAAAAGATCAACACATCAGTTATTTAATGTTTAAAAATACAGAAAAAGTATGTGGGAATTTTTGGTATTTTAAGGACAGAAATACAAATAATTAATATAAATAACATAATTACAAAATAACAAAATAGGCACAAGAAATATTTTTCTGGTTCTACTTCTTTAAAAAAAAAAATAACAAAACCTGCAGGTGTGTATCTGTGTCAGGTGAATCTTTGGTTAGAACAAGCTTGTTTGTCATTCAGTGAAATTACTCACAGTTGGATAATTTTACTCAAGTAAATGTAGTGATACTTCATAATAATTTCACTTAAGAAGAAGTGATAAGTACAGCATAGTAAAAATATTCCTAAAAGTAATTTTTTCCCCAAAAAACTTACTCACATAAATGTAACTGAGAAAATGTAACTAGTTAATTTGCAACTCTGCAGACAGGACATGCTGCTGTTTGTCATTCAGACAGTGCTGGTTCCTTTCAGCTGGCTGAAAGCGTCTCTATCTGTCACCAACACAACCAGGCCATCATCCAGTCTCAGTCATCCCATCATTACATTCACTTCACATCTTAGTCAGGATCAAAGCCCACAGTGTACTGTTGTGCTTCGTAAATGTTCTTCACCGATGTTGCACTGTTCCAAAAATAGATTTCCTTCCGGACTAGTTGATCTGTGACAAACCACAACACCAACCCCATGATGAGGTTAGTGTTTTTGCTTTGAATATTTAACCATGTAACAAAATTTTACTGGTCAGGAAGAGGCCAAGGCACACACACCCACACCTGCACACACACACACACACACACGCATACACACCATTGCCAATGAAAGGGAAATTTTTGATGATGCGTTTTATTTCTTTATATTGTGTGTGAGTCAAGCATCATTTCTGGTGACCTCAGTGTCTTTTTTCTGACTCGGAGCCATGTTGTATCTCTCTAGATTGTTTGGTATTTATTGCAGAACTTTTGGCTACTGACACAAAGCAGAAAGTTGATCTGAAAGTTGAACTTACGAAACAGGAAGTCAATATAAAAGATTAAGTTAAGCGTCTTTCCACTTAAATTTTCTATTTAAAAATGCAATCACTGGAACAGTTGTCAGTGTTGTAACATATTCTGTAGGTCTAGTGTTAAAATCCTGCCTGACTGCCTCAGGGTTTGCATGTTTTTTCTGTTCATGCATGGGTTCTATGACTGTCATTTTGGGTTATTTGGTCAGATTTTTGCCAGGTGTTTGCCAGCAGGGTTGCCAGCACCATTTATTTATATGTTGGCCTGTAATAGGGTGGTCCAGGTGGTACCCTCCCTCAGTTCCTTCATGACACTCTATGTCATGATGGACACCCAATGGCAAGTGTAATACATCCACCAGCTTTGTATTATTCTGCAGATCATCATCTACAAACAGACATCCAAAAAGTGATAAGTCAATGGTTTAAGACATTTTGTGTCCACTTGTTAAAACAGGACAACACCAGATGTGTGAACTTGAAGATAACAGAAAATGGGTTGAAAAACAACACATTTCTAAGTGTAGGGTTAGTTTATAGAAAAATATGAATGGAAAGGCACTCTATTTCTGGTTATTAGACATTAGCTACATATCATTTTGCCATGTTTTTAGTGTGTCAAAAATAGTAGATTGTTGTAAAATCTGGATCTTGATGTAACCTAGATTCCCATAAATTTAAAACGCATTGTTGACGTTATTTATTTTCAGTTTTTACTGCATCTGTAGCTTTTGTCTGGGAGGAATTGTCAAAACTCCTGGATGATGAGCAGCTTGTGTTCCACATGATGTTATTAACATTTTGCCAGCATTATTGGTGAGGCTTCTCAACACTTCAAGCCATTCTGGAGAGGAGTCTGCTGCAGTGAGCTGGTCAGGTCAGCAGGAGGATCAATGGGCTCCAGATGTTCGCTGGCCTAAACCTTCATTAGAAACACATGTCTGCTGCTGAACCCTGCTTTCTGCTTGCTCCTCCTTTAGAAAGGGTTACACCAGTAAGATTTGCTTCACTGTTTCATTGCACAACTGCTTCTGCGCTCATTTTAGTGTTCACCACAACACCACAGACAAGACAGAAAAACATATGTGGCTGCCTGTATATCTAGAGGTTGGTTAATGCTAGAGCGCAGAGTGGACTTCCTGTGTCTGACCAGAAATGTGATGTGTGATATCACTCTAAAGAGTTTTGGTAATCAGCCAGAGTTTGAATGATGGTTGCTGTTCTGCACCACTGTGTCCGCTATGTTGACTTAGTAGGATGCATGGTCAGCATGTCCAGGACTCATGCAGTGTCCTTTCTTACTGACCGGAGGGTCTTCTGGATCCTCCAGCTCTAGCTTTGGGATGCCTCTCCTTCCCCCTCGGTGTCCCTCTTTGCAGTGGCTGCACCGCTATTCACCACGCTGAGGAACACTCACACTAAAGAAAAAGTGGAAAATTGTAAGATGACCTCCCACCTAATGCCAAAAGATATATATCCTGTGGAAGTTCCTAAAGGAGAAGCAAAGATTCTATTTCTGCTTTATGCTTCAGCATGAAAGTCCCAGGATCAGGGTGAAACCTAAACTGTTTAAATCTGGTTCCCAGAACTTTTCAAATTTTCAAGCCCATCTAATAACTCACTGTAATTTATAATCTACACACCATTGCTCATTTGCCCTGAAGACTTGGAGAGTGATGTACAGGAGACATTACATTTAAGTTCCTGATAAGGTTTGTCAGCATGTGGCTAAACCACAACGTTGCATAGTTACTAACAGATATTTGCTGCTCACAAGTACTTATAATAGCATTGCTTAGTAAACATAGATGAAGATACAAGGCTAATAGAGGTCCAGACATTGGACCACATCAAGCACTAACACAACTGTAGCTGTGTTCAGTTTGTCCACTCATTACTCCTGTTATTTACCAGGTTGGAATGCAACCATTAGATTGTGCTGATCTGTACTTCTCTAACTTGTCATCCAGAATATTCTCTCTACCAGAGGCCTGGGAGCTTGAGGGTTCTGCGCAGTATCTTGGCTGTGCCAAGGACTGCACATTTCTGGACTGAGATGTCTGATGTTGTTCCTGGGATCTGTTGTAGCCACTGCTCCAGTTTGGGGGTTACTGCCCCAAGGGCCCCGATGACCACAGGCACCACTGTGGTCTTCACCTTCCAGGCCCTCTCCAGTTCTTCCCTGAGGCCCTGGTATTTCTCCAGTTTCTCGTGCTCCTTTTTCCTGATGTTGCAATCACTTGGTATTGCTACATCTACCACAACGGCTTTCCTCTGTTGTTTCCACTACGACAATGTCTGGTTGGTTCCCCATTACCATTCTGTCTGTCTGGATCTGGAAGTCCCACAGGATCTTAGCTCTGGCGTTCTCCACCACCTTTGGGGGTGTTTCCCACTTTGATCTCGGGGTTTCCAGTCCATATTCTGCACAGATGTTTCTGTACACTATGCCTGCCACTTGGTTATGTCGCTCCATGTACGCTTTCCCTGCCAGTATCTTGCTCCCTGCTGTGATGTGCTGGACTGTCTCAGGGGCCTCCTTGTACAACCTACACCTTGGGTCTTGTCTGGTATGGTAGATCTGGGCCTCTATTGCTCTGGTGTTAAGGGCCTGTTCCTGGGCAGCGAGGATGAGGGCCTCTGTGCTGTCCTTGAGTCCAGCTTTGTTTTGCCAATACATGTTTTGGCATTGATCTGAATTTAACTGTAACTCAATGTTGCCGGTGTAACAACAATGTTTTTAAATAATAGTTTCCATTTTCCAACATGCAGATCCTCCAAGTTGGGTTTAGGAAATCCAATAGGTTCATGTTTGAAACCTGGAGCAAAAAAAAGTGTAGTTGTAATAGGATGATTTAATTGTGAATTATTCAGCTCTTTAGTCACACAACAGGAATAGAGTGTGTTCTGTCTCTATGTTTAGCTGCATTTGCGCTCTGCTAGTCATCTAATGTGTATGTGTGACTTCCTTCCTCTGTATCATTGCAGGGTACAAAGGAGAACACTGCTCAGCAAAATAAGCCAAAGTTCTTGAGTAAGGCTGGCTGGGTGAAAAAGGCCCATGGCCGCCTGCTGACGAGCTACAAAGACCGCTACCTCCATGTGGAGAAGTCGGAGGTGGTGGTGTATGAAAATGAGGTACAATACAGCAGTGGCCTGCTTCAGTGTTGTCACATGACTCCAAAGATGTCATTATGCTTTGGGTGACCCTGCTCCAGATTGGTCCATACTGAACTTTACTTTGTGTTCCAGGATCTGCAGAACTGCCTTGAGCGGCTGGACATGGAAAACTATGAAACATGCCATGAATTGAAGAGTCCCTTCAAGAAGAAGCACAGACTGGTTCTGATACGGTCTCCAAAGTCTGGAAATAAGGTGAGCTAAGACACGCTTTAACAGGATGTTCAATGGAAGAAAGACCAGTTCATTTATTTATTCAGAGCACCAGTTACCATGGTAATAAGTTCTTGCAGTGTGTAACGTGTTTTGTAGGCCATTTTCACTGGGTGTGGCATATTGAAAGCATGCAGTTTGAATTCTGCTCCAAAAACTTAGGTGAGGAGATCTTGGAGGTGGCTCTATATTTAGTTTTTCAGAAACTGATTCGATCTAGCAATTAGTCCTTCGTCCAAATATATTAAAAACATGTGGAATTGTTGTCATATTCCTGCAGCTGCTTCAGTGTTGCTTATTGCAGTGAAGGTCTCTTCACCAATAGTTGATGACAATCTGTATTGGTTCATGGTATTTAGTGTATCTGATGAATGGTGAAGCATCATCAGTCAGCTGATAGTTGACTGTTAGAAAACTAACAGTCAACTATCAGACAGAAACAACAATGATGTATTGAGACTTCAAATGGATGTGACAATTGTAATACCTGCAACAGTTAGTAAATTATACATCGTTCAGCATTTTATTTCAGTATATCAAAGATATAAAGTGTTACAATAAATTATTTAACATTTAAATCATTCAACGTATTCAAATGTTCAGCTATCACTGGCTATACAATATGACAAGTCATTTCTTCTAAGTCTGAGTCAATTCTCAGTTCTTTTTCCCCAAGTTAGAGTTTAGTCTTTAAAGAAAATACATTTATTCTCATCTAATCAACATCAACTCTGTGTCGCTTTATTTAAAACTTATTTAACTATATTATTTTGAAAATTCCCCAAATTTCATTTTTACTCCACTGGATATAGGCAAAATAAACTTAGAAAAATATGAATGTTTCATTTTTTAATTAATGAATACATTTCTTTTTGTCTTTATAATAACCATTGTTCATCCTTGTTGTCATATTGTCCTTTTTTTTTATTGAATGTTACACTAAATATGGTTTGGAGAGTATTCGCCTCCTCACTGACCCGGAAAAGTTTAAAGACGTTTGGGAACAAATCAATATTGAATTGATTTATTTAATATTCATTATGCAGGTTGGGAAGACAGGAAGGGAAAGCACAGATAAAATGGAACAATCTTTCATCTCTGATTTATCTGTTGTCAAGCCAATTGCTGAGCTAAAGCTAGAAACACCGGCAGCCTATACTACACCTAGAGATACAGCTTCAACATCAACACATAGCAAAACATAGCAAAACACAATGAAATAATAACCCATTTTATTCTAAACTAATGTCCTCTGCCCAGACACAACCTCTTACCGAAGCACATTGAGATCAGTAGCTTCTCATGAACTCTTCACATGGTGTTTTCTTCAGGCAGTGGAAGGAAAAGTCTTTTGGGATTAGCGACAGCCTGTCTTTTCTCAGAGAATATTTTTTGCCAATATTCATCTGGTTTTAAACAGCCTGTGTTTTTTCTTTGAAAATGCAGTGTTTATACCCAGCAAGATAAAGATACTGTGGGTGTGTCCTCCCACATTTTGCCCAGCTGCAGGCAAAATGAAAGACATCACATATGACATCATCATTCATGTGATTCCTCCTTCATGAAAAGGGACCAATCTGGGATCCAGAGTTTTTTTGGTTTTTTTTATCAGTCTTGTTTGTTCTCTGTGTAATTCACTCCGTGTTTCATCCCATAGCTAGACCCAACAATCCAAACTTAGCCAAATACCTGATTGACACAATCAGAGTGTGTGTTGCTGCAAGTCTGAACCAATGGGCAGCTCCATATTGTCTGTTGCCTCAACTAAATGTAAATTGTGTCAACCTGAATTAGCTTTTGATCAATAAAAAACAGTTGTTGTGGATGTATCTTCCACAAATTAATAATCCCAGAATGTAGTTTCTAATGACTGTTTCGTTGGCAGACGAAGATTCAAAAATGGAAAATACTAACTTAATGCAGCTAGTAGTATTATTTGCTAGAATACTGAAAGTGAGTGAATGCTGTTGTTTCATCTAAATGATCAGGATGTGAAGAGCTACTTGGCTGCCTGTACCTTTCTCCAGGGTAACCCTTCTGTGCTGTGGGGCTGAATGGTGGCAGGAGAAATCCTCCTGCAAGTGTCCCAGCTGCAGCAGTGTGTTCTTTACACCATGCGACTGTGCAGTTTCAATTCCCCTTCTAAGAAACAGTGGAATAGCTTTGGAATTAAATGTAAAGAGGTGCCTGCTTTATGCCACTGGCAGATCCATGATGTGAAGTTCCAGACTCAGACTGTGGAGGAGAAGGAGGCCTGGATCAAAGCCCTCAGTGATTGCATCAACAGAGCTAAAAACAAAGTCTTTGATGAGGTAAACAGAAATATCTTGTGAGAGATGCTTATTTACCTCCATTTTTATCTTTTAGCTTCGGCTCCTAACAATCTGTCCCTATCTCCTCGTATCCTCAATATTCTCCACTGTTGCAGCTGATGGATCTTATCCTTCTCAGCTACTCCATAAACACTTCTTCATCTGTTGCCCAGTCATCTCTAACTTGGCCCTCAAGCTGCTCCAACTGAGCTGTCTCTCACATCATTTCTAATGCTGTTCATTTTGTTAAAGCACTTCTACCTTCTTTCTGTTGATTAGAAACAGAAAGGACACACTCTCTTAACCATACCTATGTAGTAAAATGTTTTTTTTTTTGTGATATATAACAAATACAAGTGTTGGAAATGGGTGTACAACAATGATAGAGAAAAGAAAAAAGAGAAATAGAAGAATAGTTCAATATGGTTCTTCGGTACTTGTATTGTTGTTGATATGATAAAGGAAAAAGGAAGATGTTAAAATTACTGATCAAATAATATAGCATTACTACTACTGAAGAAAAGCTAACATTGTTATTACTTTTTTATTAGTTGTTTTAGGGTTTTAGTAAAATGTTCTTGCACAAGTTGTTCTGTCACAAATCTGTGTTTCCATCCACTCCACCCTATCTACCCGTTCTTCTTCCGATTTGTTGACCCCTGCTGGTTAAACTCATCCACCATGAATCTTGGTGGATTTCACTTCTCTGTTGCTCTTATTCACATACCTTTTTATTTACTTTCTATTTGTCCTCAAAAATTTTGAATTTGGCATGTTTATTATAGGTGAAAGTTGATGAAAGCAGTAATTTAGAGCATATTACCCGAACAAGACCTCAGGGAAACCGCAACCGGCGCCCACCAACCAGGATCCACATGAAAGAGGTATGAATCTTGGACTCGCACTGTAAAGATTGCCTCTTTTATCAAAGTGCAAATAAAATTCTTGTTCTCCAGTGTTTTCTAGAATCATAAGAGATTCTAGAAAACACTAGAATGGACTATGAATGGACTTACTATTTCATGTACATATGTGAAATTGTGCAAAGTCATGAAACAAAGTGCACCGTACCAAAAAGGATCAGCTCCTGTTGAGAAGTTCATCTCAACAGGAGATGAACTTCTCAACCTTCATGAAAAGGGATTAAAATATATATATATATTTTTTTATCAGTCTTGTTTGTTCTCTGTGTAATTCAGTTCAGAATGTGCTTCTGATACGTCAGAAGCATGTTCTGACGTATCAGAATGTGCTTCTGATACGTCAGAAACATATTCTGACGTATCAGAATGTGCTTCTGATACGTCAGCACATTCTCTGAAAGGAGAGGAGGCTTCACTGCAGAGTGTCCCCTCAGTAGTTGTATGCACAGATGACCCACCTAGATCAGCTATGCAATTCTTTCTCCATTTGTACTTAAGAATTATTTAACTGTTGCAAACCCACAATATAAGCTTGTTTTACCGCTTGAAAAGTATCTTTTTCTGTGTAAAAAAAGCAAAAAAAAATATCCAGCAGGTTTTTTTTTTTTTTTTGTCGTTTCAAAATGCCAAGCTACAGTACAAAACGCTTCTGATTTTTAAAGACTAATAATAGAAACGTACACTTTATTGTAAATTACTTTAACAGCTGGTATACAGATGGAAACGAGTATTTTATTACTCGTTTCCATCTGTAGAACGTCCATCGCAGGGCAACACAGAGACAGACAGGACAAACAACCATGCATGCCCACATTCACACCTAGAGAGAATTTATACAGTCATGGTTTTGGACTGTGGGAGGAAACCAGAGTACATGGAGAGAACCCATGCATGGACAGAGAGAACATACAAACTATGCAGAAAGATCATAGGCCAGGAATTGAACCCAGGACCTTCTTGCTGTAAGGCAACAGTGGTACTAACTGCGCCACTGTGCAGCTCATTATATGTTTTTATTCACAAAAAAGAAACATATATTATTTGTGATTGGATACTAAATCCATGAAAAAAACACATTTCTGCTCCTGAAACTATTGAGGCACTCATTTGCCGGTTAATGTGATAATTCCTCTTGATATTTCACTCTTTGCTATCTTCTATAAATATTTATAGCACATAGTTCAGAATCTGGAAAACTTGTATTGTGTTTTGCTCTAGGTGGCAGAGGTGTCCTCTGATGGTGTCCTGCGTTTGGATCTTAATCTTGAGGATGCTGTGATGCCTAATGGGACAAATACTGCTAAAACAAACAGTACTGAAAGTCCTGAAACAGCTGTTGCAGGGAAACAATCAGTGTTAAGGACAAACGAGGAGAAGAAAGCCATCAAACCTCCCATGCCTCCCACCAAGGAGGCTAAATCCAGTGCTGTACCTGAGAATGAGCCTAATAAACAAGATGAAGAAGAAAAGGTTTGTTCATCTTTTCCATGTAGAAATACTATATATCTATGCCATACAATACAATTACATACAATTGTCTCAAAGTAAATTTGCATGAATCTAATGGTCTATAAAACTGATTTCATGTTTTTCAAGGTTGTGAAACCACCAATGCTTCCATCAAAAGAATCTAAACCCAGTGTTACCTCTGGGGAGGTGATTTTACAAGATGAAAATACTAATGATAAGAAAAGCACAAACCCACCACCAACACCTCCCAATAAGCCCAGCTCCGGTGGGTCATTGAGCAACCCTGGAGAAGTGTTACCAACCTCACCGAACCACCACCCCCCAACACCTCCGTCCAAAGACAAGAAGCCTTCACAAATGGTTGTGGAGCTCAACCAACAGTCACGAGATATAGCTACTGAACAAAGTGAGGACGAAACAGCAATGATCAATGATGAGGTAGACCAGTCTGAGGAAACTGTCCAAAATGGTGAACCAAAAATGACCTCTAACAAACCCAAAGTTCTGCCAGAAGACCTGTCAACAGTTACTCAACCTAAGGGATCACACTCCACTGCTTCTGATACGTCAGCACATTCTCTGAAAGGAGAGGAGGCTTCACTGCAGAGCGTCCCCTCAGTAGTTGTCTGCACAGATGACCCACTCACTGAGACGCTCAACCTGAGTCCGCTTCTCCACCTGCCAGGAGAGAAGAAAAAGAAAGCCGAGGAGAAATCTGTAGACAGTGGTCAGCACTCTGACGATGAGAGTGAAGGCTCTGTGAGTGAAGACACACTGGCAGCTTCCACAGCTGCTCTCCATGGAAGCCATGCTGGCCTGGATGTGTGGGATGGCACTGAAGATGAAAGGAAAATCTCTGTTAACTTAAGGCCATCAGCCAGTCTTCAGGTTAAACCAGATGTCACTCCCTGTCGGCGCTCAGAGCCTTTCCAGAAACCTTTCAAATCGTCAATCAAGGCCAGGTCTGCATCAATCGGAGACCTACTGTCTGACTCCCTGGGCTCCGGTCAGCTGAAAACCACCTGCAAAGCTGAAAATGAAGGGAGTATATCACTCTTTCAAAATTCTGTAACAAAGCTTGAGACCGAAGTGGCTCTGGAGATGAAAAATACGAGTGAGCTCCTCAGTCAGGCTCAGGAGAGAAGTTACGCTGCGGTAATGCCGGAGGATCTGCTTACTAAAGCGCTGGAGAAGCTCCAGAGGGCTGACTGCGTCCTCAGAGAGGTCAGGAAATTGAAAATCACAAAGAAGAGGATGAGCTGGTAAATAAGCAACAGCCAATCAACTAGGAATTCACTGATTGGACAGTTATTCTCTGGTCAAAGGATGTAAACCCAAACGCACCCAAATAATTTAAAAAGGGTTATGTTGGTTTGGGGGCATAAAACTCTGGTCTTTCTATGGAACTGAGTTTGACCTGTATATTTTGCTGTCAAATATTGGCTGACAGTCTTTTAACATTAGGATAAACTCATTTAGTCTACTTAGATATGAAATAAGTAAGCCCTTATGAAAAAAACAAGTTAAAAATGTTTTTTGCTGGATGTGTTAGTATTTTACTAACAGTTTGGTAAACTAGCATAGGTCAGGTTGGAGGAAGTTACAACCTCTTACAGTGGGCAAATGTATCTCACTTTTAACAGATAGAGCATCCCATGCAGCTTCTTATAAACAACACAGTACCACTCTTTGCACATTTACTGCTTCAGTTTGTTTTGTTAAATCATAACCTGAAAGAAAAGAATTCTTTTAACAGCAAATTAAGAAAAATGTTATGATTTTCTCTGGGAACCTTAGCTTTTCTTTCAGAGACATACACCATTCATTTGAGGGATTGTATGATGTACATACTTGATCATTCTTCTGCAGCATATATTTTATTGTTGATAGTGGAATTAAAATGCACCTATATAGCTCAGGAGTTTTCAGTCTAACTACATGATTAATGCAAATAAAAATGTTTCTGTTTCACATAAAGGGATCAGTTTTTAACAATAATATATATTTTTGTACTGGTATTGTACTTTGCACAGAGCAAAGCTCACTTTAACCCATTTTACAGTTTAGTCCTTCATAAAAAATGAAATTTGTGAACAATTTCTTACATCATAATCTACACAGATACATTTCTCTTCATTACCAGAAAACAATTTTAAATATGTCTCAGCATATGTATGTAAGAGTATTTTCTAATAATGGTTTTGTACACTGATTAAACAAACTTTTGATAATGCTGAAATAAACCAGGAGAAGCATTTTTCCTTATGTCTTGTTCTTCAATAGAGCTGCTGTAGTCAAATTCAGTCAATTGAATTTCAGTCTTTATTTACCGAATTCTATGCACAAAAAGAAAATAGATTTCTGCTTAAAGTGAGTGAAGATGCTCAGCTTGTAGCATCAGAAACCATTGACTTGACTCCTGAATATTTGCTTTAATTGACTTGTGCTCTGCTTTAAGAACTACAAGCTTTCTATCCTCTGTTTCAAATGTGACAACTTGCTGCTTGTGTTTTTCCATTTAGAATGGAAATATAAAGAGTCAGTGGAGCAACATGGTCAACAGAGCCTTATCCTCTAAACAAGAGGACAAGGTTCTGGGTCTAATTAAATCAAGAGAATGTTGTCTCTTGATTTATTTAGACCCAGACTGAGACTCTGTTAATGAGTCTAACCTTCTCTGAGGTTAGAGTTTCTTGTTGGTTGATGGGAAGTTCTTCCGATTGTTCAAGAAGAAAATCCCTCTTCAAGTTCACTTATACTGGGACATGAGAAAACCAGTTGAAGTTATGTTCCATAGGAATTATTATAAAAGTCAAATAAACTATGTTTTCTGTTAAAAGTGAGAAACTAGATGTTCCAAGTTGTTAATTGTTGCTGTTGGGGTTGAATTAGACAATCAGCCCTGAGTCAGCTCTAAAAGTCACAGACATGGAGTACATGTTCCTTTAACATTTTTAAAGGAACATCATTTAATACGAATAAAACTTCTTCACAAACTTAATAGGAAAATATTTTGGTGTGTAATTTTAATACACACAACTCATTTTAGGAATCAGAATAGAACAGCGATAGATTAATTGACAATAAAAGTCTTACCTATGTAAATGATGGGAGGCTCAAAGAAAACAGGTGTGGAATAAACAACTGATCCGTTGTTCAGAGGTAGAAATACAAAGCTCAATTTAAGGGAATTTAACTGACAAATGTGTGATAATTCTTACATTTGGGAAAACAGAAATAAATTATCCATTGAAACAGGCATTGAGAAAGATATCATTTCACATGTGGGATGTAGACACTGAGCTAAACAGAGAATGTGCGAGTTTTTAGAGAAAAACTCGCACATTCGTAAAGATACAATACAGAACAATTAGACTGATAGAAGTTTGAGGAAAAAAAATTAAACAATGAATTCAAAACCTAAACAGAAACCAGACAAAACTAGCATTCGTTGATTTAGTCATAAATCATTTAAGAGAATAAAATTATTAGCACACAAAATTTTTGTAATTTAGATTTAATGCACTTTTATGACAGTGTAGTCCAGCTGTAGGTGGTGGTAAACCAAGTTGTTGTTTTCCCACTGCAGAAAAACAGCAGGAAGAAGCAGCTCACCATGTTTGTGGGAAAAAAAATATCATTTATAGCATATGTGATTAACTGCACATATCAAACTAAGCACTAAACAGAAAAGATTAAAACAATATTAAGAGGAGCCGAAAAGTTCTTGGGGTTCAAGAAAAGATATTAGATATATTAATGAAAGGTTTGGGATCAGATGGGAAACCAGGACCCCCAGGTGATACTGCATATCCATGTAAAGGGGCAAAATGATAATATCATATCAATGTATCGAAAGATATATTTCTACATACGTATGTAGATATACAAAGATAAAAACGGACAGATGGACGGACGGATAGATCCATCCATCAGATACTTATATATATAAATATAAGTATGTAAGTATCTTCCCAGATATTTATATACTTAAATATATACTTATGTATATTTTTAAGTACATGCATATAGATCAGTGGTGCTCAGCGTCAGTCCTGGAGGGCAGCCTGGCATCATGCATGTTTTAGTTCTCTTGCTGTCGTATCAACCTCCTCAGCATGTCAGTGTTTTCTAATGTGCCATCATTAGAAAGAACTGAAACATGCAAGATGCCGGGCGGCCCTCCAGGACCCACTTTGGGCGCCACTGATAATATAGTATGAATTAAATCCTTATGAACTACAACTCCATAACAGCAGGTGGCGGTAACGGTACTAAATGTTCTTTTGCCAACCGCCGCTAACAATAAAAAAAGAAAGACCGAAAGAAGCAGCAGAAGAAGCTGTTTAACCATTTTATAAACACAGGGTTTATAGAACTTAATATTTTCTGTTCTGGGACTGAAAACTCGGAGTTTATCCAGATCCGTGATCTTCTTCTGACTTTCACCGCATCGTCGTTTTCCTCCCAACCTGTTTTGTTGTCTCTGAAATGATGTCTTCAGGTGAAACTGTGATGCAGTCCTCGAAGAACGAAGGTTTGTTTTTTCACTTTACTCCAGACGGTTTTACTCTTTTGGCTTTGCTGCCTTCGGCCTGAACTTTTTTGCCCTTCAGTCGTTAGCAACTCAGCTAACTAACTACCACAGAAACGTGGGGAAATAAATAGTTGATACACCGAAGATTCATCAAGTTTCCCCTCTTCGGTGCAACTTTTAATCGGTTTCATCTCAACTGTAAGAGACGGTATCTAAAATACGCATTGTATGATTTTTAGATAACATTTTTTACATAATAATAAGTATTTGATCATCAAACAACCAGCAGGAGTTCTGTCTCAGGTTTAACTGATACAGGTAACAGATACATTACCTGTATCAGTTAAACCTGTTTGAACTCGTTGCCTGTAGAAAAGACACTTGTTACTATGATAACCATAACGCACTACTCCATCATGGGTTAAAATCCTACAGTGTATTAAAGGTCCCCAGCTCGTGTTCAGCCCCGTCTGAATTAAGATGACCATCTGGAGAACTTTCTGGAATGAAATCCACTCACTGTGTTTGGAGGAGGAAGAAGCATCCCAACTGTGAAGCACGGCAGTGGAAGCATCATGCTTTGGGGCTGACTGTCTGTATAGCAGGCAGGATGGCTGCAATGTAGTGAGGAGAGGCTGGCGGGTCATCTGTTCAGAAACAGAACATTTGGAGGGAACCTGAGCAACCTGAAGATCAATATGGATGAGAGGACCAGAACCACAAGTGACGACTGACCTCTGACCTGGAAACAAATGGTTCTGGATCAAATACTAAGGCCCATTTTTCTAATGTAGTAAATACATAATTTCTTGCAATAAAATGCTAATTATTTAAAAATCCCATCCTGATTTTTTTATTAATTTTTTTGTAGATCTTGTCTCTTCATTGTTGAGGTGAAAATCAAACCTCTCATCTGTGGAAGTGGCTGTTCAGATACTTATTTTCTGACTGTATTGTGTTGAACTGTGTCAAACAGTCAGCTCACCTCACTGTCTGTTTGCAATCTATTTGACAGCGTTGGGAACCAGAAGACTTCCGTGTCCGATTCACGGCTGTAAGCGTGTTTACAAGGAGCAGAGTGCTCTGGAGAGTCACATCATGGACCACGAGAGCCCGGCTCAGTCCCTGCCTGGTGAGCCCACAGTCTGACTACCTCAGTTTCTTCTTTTTTTCCCCAACAACTTAATTTGTTGTTAAACAATAAAATTGTAAGTTTAAATAAAGAGAAAATGAAATGAGTGAAAGATGAAGGAAGAACAAATAAAAAAAATTGTGTTCATTCAATATTTAAAAGCATAGTGCTAGAGGTTTTCCATGAGTTTCAGGTCCTCTACCATCTTAAAGATATTCATAAGACTTGTTGATCTTTATTTTTTTGGTAAGTTGAGGTATTATTTTTCTCTTGTAGTAGCTTTGCAGTTTGTGATATTAGCTGTATCGTTTTCCACCAGCTTAGCAATGCCAGCTACCATTGTGGAGGGCTTTGTCAACTGCTCCCCAAAATAGCCAATTCTTACGAACAGTTACTCAACTGCTTCAATCAGGGTCTCATTTGACTTGTCCTGGGTGGTTTTCATCTTAATAGGTGGAGTTGATTATTTGGTTGGCGTAACAGGGGAATTTATCCTCTTACCAGAGGAATTAGAAGACCATTGGTCACCCAAACTAGCTCGATTTGAGGTTAGCTTAGCACCAGCTTTTCTGCTCACCATGTCTCGCTTCTCCTAGTCTGAGTAACTCTTGAGTAACTACTAATTATTTTTTTCTTTTGCACAAAGTGGAGTAATTCTCTTGAAGACACTCACCCTCCATTAGTCTAATGTATAATTATTGGTATTATGTGCAAAGTCTGGGGCAGTAGAGGCAAACTCAAAAGAGGGTGTCTACTTGCTCAGACGTTTTGCTGAACATCTCTCCTGTGGTTCTGAGTTGAACCAGGAAGTGTTCTCTGAGTGGTTGAAGGCTGTTTCCTCCCTCCAGGTAAGAAGCTGCTGTGCTCCACCAGCGGCTGTAGTGCCTCCTTCCCCAGTATGCAGAAACTGATGGAACACACCAGGCATCACTACAAGCCTAACATCTACTTCCAGTGAGCTGAGTCTAACAGCTGATGTGTGTGCGTGTGCATGTGTTGGAAATAACAGTGTTTTCTGTGTGTAAAGATGTGAGAGCTGCCGCACCAAGCTGCGCTCCTACCGGGGCCTCCTAGCCCACCTGCACACCTGCTCCAAGGTACCCAGAGCCAAGCCAAAGCCTGTGGAGCCGGCGGTCCCCCTGCTTGCTGCTGTGGCTGCCTCCAACCCGGCCCCAAGGACCTCTGAGCTGGCCCCCCCACAGCTGGAATCGGTGTCTCCACAACAGGCTCCCATCCAGACCACATCAGTCCTCTCTGCTGTCCCTGTGCCAGACTCTGCTGACCCTCCTGCACTTGGGCCCCCCATGTTGACTCTCCAGGAAGTCCCCACTCCTCAACTTGTTGAAGCCCCCCCACAGAGCCCTCTCAGGGACGCAGCCACTAAGCTGGCCGCCAACTTCAGGCCCATAGCTCCCAAAGCGGCTGCAGACCTGGCTGCTCCAGGATCACCTACTTACCCTGCCTCCACCGCTGTCTGGAGGAAGAATCAAGGTGAGCCTGTCTCCATGGTAATGAGCACAAAGCTACTGTACTCACAACACATTTTCTGTTTTGAGTGTCTAAAATTATTTTCTCTCCATTTTCCGTCTTAGATTAGTGCTGGTGGTTCTCCAGTCATATGTCCAACTGTTAACTCCAATATTATTCACATCCTGGCAGATTAATGAGACCAGCAGGTTTCTTTTGACTGGAAGTAATCTGAATGTTTTGGTCTCACTAAGCCATAGAGCTGAGCATTGGAGTGGCGGCCCAGGGGTGCTCCAAACTCACCTCCAAACTCACCTCCAAACATCATTTATCTAAACACCAGAAACTGGCACAAATTTTCTCAGCTATTGGAACAAGGTGTGATGGCAGCAATGCCAAGAATGATTTTTTTAAAAACTGAATAAATCACCTTTAATATCCATTAAAAAAAATTACTAATGTAAAAAAATTCTTTGAATAATTACTGTTCCCCTCACATTATTGAATTTTCAGACATGCCTCTTATCAGCTACAAACTTCTTGGTTGAATGAAAATAACTTTTTTCTACTTCTCCCATGAGTGTGAATAATTAGGGCCTTAAAAGGAACAAAATTCTCCTTCTGTATGTTTCTGTGTCTCAGTCTGTATCTGTACTGTCTGGAAACAGTCCAAGCGCAAAAAACACCCAACCGTGTTGTGGGTGTAAGTTAATGTTTTCTTGGGGCTGGAAAACAAGTGGTTTCAAAATCATCCCAATTATGAAGTTGCTGCCCTGTTACCTGGCAACCCCAGCTGAGCACAGGCCCTCAGCGACCCAAATGGAACCTTGCTTACTTTATTATTGGAAGACAAGCAAGTTGACTCAGCTGGTTTTACTGGTGTACAGTGGCTGCTGGAAAAGAGATGTTTTGTTGTTGACAGCAGTGAAAGTGTTCTCCCAATCATGAGTAGATCTACATGGCTTCATTTTATTTTTAAACTGTATTTATATCAACATTTTGAAGTATCTGATTAGGAAAAGTTGATGCAAATGGCAAGAGTGAAAATAATCTTCTCTGTTTCGCAAAAACTTTTATTCTCTTGATTTGATTTCTGTTGTTCTGAAAGAGAGAATGCCTTAAAGAGGAGATGGAAAAAGTGAATTTTCCCATCCATTTGTGGGTCTGTTGACAGAGTTCCAGCCACATTGCCAAAGAAAACTGTAGTTTGCACAAATCACTTCACAAGCTACTTTTTTGAAAACTAACTGCCGACAGTCAGTAAAGCAGGACTGAAGGAAGGTTCTGTCTCACCATTTGTTACATCAAAGATAAAGGTAAAACATGATGCACCATCCAGAAACCACTGCTGTGTGCTTGATGGTAGTGCAGGAGGCTCGGCAATCTATTTTTATATGTATGAAGTGTGAGTGTGAAGGTGTAGGGGGCGTGGCCAGCAGCAGCTAATTTGAATGCGAGTGTCAGATCAGTAAAACGGCTCATTCTGAAAGTTCAAAATAGGCAAAACCGAGCAGATTGAAATCTTATTATCTGAGAATGGTTTTGTACACAAACTGTAATGAACATGTCTTATAGCATATAGCTTTATCCTAATCTGTTCAAGGAAGAATTATAGGTCACCTTTAACTGTTTGTCCTTTTGTCTCAGCTGTGTCGAGCCACAGACGTGTCCTTTGGGAGCACACCAGAGGGCGCTACACCTGTGTCCAATGTGGTCACACTGTAACCAACCGCAAGGAAATGACTCAACATATCAACAGTCAGCACCATGGCAACAAGTCTGGAGAAGAAGCAGGAAGTTCTGTCCCCAAGTCTTAGCTCAAGGTTTTCATCAATTCTACAGCTGATGAAATTCTCGAGCCTGGATTAGAGGCAGGGTTAATCCAGACAAAAAGCTAAACATCTGCTGGATCACCGTTCACATGGCTACACTGACATCAGTCAGTGCATATTGACTAAATGGAACTGAACTCCAAAAATTAATATTGTCCATATCTGGTTTAAATTTGATGTTAGTAATTGACTAATACATAATGAAACAACATATCGTGATCATTATTCTCCTGGTAATAAATAACATGGCTCCTAACTTCTACTTTTGGCAGTACATCATCTGGTGAAAGGAAGGTTTAACATCCTTTAACATCTGCCTGAGACAGATGTTGAAGTCTCAGGCTTCAAATCTGAGACTTCAAATCTGATTTGAAGTCTCAAATCTGTTACATGTTTATTTCAAATCTGTTCCATGTTTATTCTTTGTCACTTTTTTTCTCCAAGTCATAGTCAACATTGTTGTGTGTGAACCATGGCAATACGTTCTGGTGTGCACTGCTAATGCTCCCAGTATGTTGCTTTAACTATACAGATCCGCATGTTGGCACATCTGGATGCAGTTCAGCTTGAGGGATTTATTTTTTTTGTTTACCTTGTATGTGTAAAAACAAGTTTATTTATTTTTTACAATAATCAGGAGCTTTTTAGCACCTGAAAAGCTTAAAACCTGAGCTTCTAACCTAGAGATGCACTGATCTGATATTAATATCTGATATATGTGTAATACTCAAAGATTCTAGATGGATCCTTGTGAACAGCTCAATGCTGTGAACAGTAGAACTCCAGCTTCAGTTAGTGACTGTTTTTGACAACTTAGATGCTCATGATGCTCTGTACTAGAGGTGGTGCTAGAGTCAAAAAAAGAATCCATTGTATTCTGTTTTGTCAAATTCTAATTGATGTTGACATAGGCTATTTAGTCACAATTTCTATGCAGTTTAGTTAATATTCAAGCAGCTGAACTGTGAATGCAGATCCCATCACATGAAGTAGGTGAATATGTTTTTCTTCTCAGTGACAAAATAAACTGACTGGTTCCATCAACTTATAAATGAAATTAAATGAATCCACTTAAATTATGAGCACTGTGGTCAGAACACAGCTTCACAGTTTCCTCCTGGTTTGCATCTGGAGGACAAATTTTCTCTAGTTGAATTTATTTAACTCCACATTATTTTGTCTAAAAATTCCCTTCAGTTGATCGGTGTCTGAGCAGTTCAATTCTATTTGTTTTAAATGGCATGGCTTCATGTCACTCAAGCGCCTTAGAAAATATTAATGGAAGCTGAAATGTCAAAACGTCCACCAGCGTCTCACCTCCATATTACCCCAACTGAACAAAATTGGTGTCAAATATTATGATACACATGTGATGGTATGTGCAGTAAAACATTCATTTGGGCTGCTATTGTTTCAAGAGGTCAACCACTCCCCACTCATATTTACAAAATCAAACGAATTTGGTGTCAAACAACTCAGCTCCGTTTCTGAAAGTTCAAAATAGGCAAAACCGAGCAGATTGAAATCTCATTATCTGAGAATGGTTTTGTACACAAACTGTAATGAACATGTCTTATAGCATATAGCTTTATCCTAATCTGTTCAAGGAAGAATTATAGGTCACCTTTAACTGTTTGTCCTTTTGTCTCAGCCACAGACGTGTCCTTTGGGAGCACACCAGAGGGTGCTACACCTGTGTCCAATGTGGTCACACTGTAACCAACCGCAAGCAGCACAAAAATTTCTGTTTGTGCAGCACAAAAATTTCTGTTTGTGCAGCACAAAAATTTCTGTTTGTGCAGCACAAAAATTTCTGTTTGTGCAGCACAAAAATTTCTGTTTGTGCAGCACAAACATTTGTTTGTGCAGCACAAACATTTCTGTTTGTGCACACAAACATTTCTGTTTGTGCAGCACAAACATTTCTGTTTGTGCAGCACAAACATTTCTGTTTGTGCAGCACAAACATTTCTGTTTGTGCAGCACAAACATTTCTGTTTGTGCAGCACAAACATTTCTGTTTGTGCAGCACAAACATTTCTGTTTGTGCAGCACAAACATTTCTGTTTGTGCAGCACAAACATTTCTGTTTGTGCAGCACAAACATTTCTGTTTGTGCTGCTTTTGCTTTGAAGATATTGATGATGATCTCTGGAAACGTTTTTATAAATGTCTTTAAAATGATAGTGACACAAAGTTTTACTGCACAAACCAACAGTAAAACTGTTTGTCACCAGTTAGATTTAGGCAGCTTCTCCAAAGTCTTGAGCAACCTTAGTCAGGAGTTAGTGTTGCCATGGCGAGCATTGCTCATGTCATTACTCGACTTTAAAAATATGATTTATTTGCGGAGTGGACACAGAGTGTAATGGCTGTCCTCTAGTCTTGATTACTGCAGGTCAGGAACAAGGAGGAACTCACTTCAGCATTCACCGCCTGCTGAGGTGGTGAATGCTCAATCTTTTTATGTGTATAAAGTGTGTGTAAATATTTCATACACACTTCAAATCTCTAAACAGAAAAAAGAATTTACAGATTTTACAAGTTTTTTTTTTTTTCCCCAAAAAAAGTTGCTAAAAATGCCTGGAAAGTCACTAAATATAGCAAAAACGTTCAACAGTGCTTCTCTTGAGACTGCAGCCCTGACCCTCAGCAGGCCTTTCAGTGTCTCCTCACTCTGCCCACTTTGCTAGAATTTTTCAACATTTTCATGGGGTGAGGTTAAGCTTCACACAGGAGTAGCTACATTTTAAATCTGCAGTATGTTACTCTTATAAAAATGTTATTTACTTAAACTGCCCACTTTGCTGTGACAGTATGGCATAAAACAATCTGTGGCAAAAACTATCAAGTTCCGCTGCCTTTTCCTACTGATATTTAGCAATCAGAGCCAGCATGTACAGGGCTCATCCCTCCTTCGCCTCCTCTACCCTCAAACCCTTGCTCCCTGCCTCCCATGAAGGCTCAGGCTAGATACCATGGCCACAGACAATGGCAGATTTGTTGGCACATATAGCAGTAAGTATCTGCAATTGACTGACAGCATTAAGACACTCCTCCTGGCTGATAGGTTGTTTTTGGTCAGGACGGCATGGAAACGGTGCATTTCTTAGCTCAGGCAAGAGGTCTGTCTCATACCAAATGGTCATGACATGGTGACAGTTTTCAACAAGCAAACATTTTTTATTCAAGTCATTTACTGTAGCTTTAAAGGTGTGCTCCCACTAATAATAATGTCCCAGGTTTATTGAGGACAGGAATGTTTTTGTCTGGAACATTTGGAGTCTGCTGTGTTCAGAGACACTCATTAGCTAACATGTAATTATTTACTGTACAGAACAGCTGAAGTCAAAAAAGGGTTTTATTTGGGTCAATCAGAAGAAATTTATACAAGCACCTGACTACAGAGTTAAGCTGTCCTCTCCATCTGTCCAAAATCAGCCTTTAGAAACATCACTTCAATAAAGATTGGTCAAAATAAATGACATTACTTCAGATGGTGGGAGGCAGGTAAAGCAAAGACCCACAGTAAACCAGTGCATACAAAGCAAGATTAAGTGCCAACAGTTGGGCGTCCTGATTAGACAATGTTTTTTATTTTTACAGTTTGTATTATTACAACTATGTGAAACAGGGTTTTCAAAAAAATCTCTTCTCATCAGCAAGGTACTTCTTTCCAGTGGGAAATTTCCGGAAAAACAGGCTGTTGCCTCTGCCTAGATTCCCCTGAAAGAGAGAGCAGAGAGATGATTCTGCTCATCGGGTCAGAACCAAACAGGAGGAAAGCTTTCTGTCCAGCTGAATTTGGATTACAAATGTTTTAACAATGGCTAGCAAATTTTGCTGGACAATAAATTATACCAGAAGTGATGGTGATAAATGATAATATTGTCAATTTGAGACTATTTCCAATTAATATAATGGTAATGACATAATAAAGCAAAAACACATTTAACACTGGAGCTGGAAGACATTTTAAATATAGCAAAAAAATGAACAAAACAGAATCAACAAATAAAATTAATTATGAAGTTTCTGTAACTGTCCTTTTAAAAAAAAAGGCTAATTAAGACTAAAACACCGAACTGGAGAATTTGTCATCCAGTTCTTGGTAGTTGCAAATGAAAATGATTGAGCTCTAATTTATCATGCGATTCATTTTTTACTTCTTGTTGCATCAGGCCTACAGATGGCTGCATAGAACAGCTGATCATGGCTTGCCATGGTTATTTGGATGTGGTGGGAACATTCTGGGTATTTATACTATTTTACATATGTGTTTGAATGAGAAACAGTGCAGTCCATGCAGCGCCTGCAGCTGTGCTTTTTTTCATGTAAATCGGAATCGGTGCAGACAATTTTATATATATAAATTTTTTGTGAGCTGCACGTTTCAAAAGTTGTTGTGAATGAGGCATCCTCTGTGACACAAGGGGCCCCCAGCTGCTGCTGCATGTTGTGTTACTGCCCTTACCTCCCTGTTCAGGTGCTTCCAGCAGTCCACCCAGGTGGGGTATACAGACGCATAAGGTGGCATGCCTCCAGCCAGCCTGACAGGAGAACACATCAGCTCATCTCATCTGATCAGAGATATTTTGGCAGCCATGTTGCCAACTTACCCGCAGTTATTGACGGCCATCAGGTGGGACACCAGAACAAAGGGGTAGGTGAGCATACTGGCGAAGAACTAGAAGGCAGAAGAACACACACTCATATTACTCTGCATATTCTGCAGGCATGTTCTGCAATGTGCGTTACACTCACCCCGGTCACCGCCTGGGAGCAGTTCCTGATCTCTCCTGTGTGACTCATCTGTAAAACAGAACAACTGGGTGATGAAGAACCACCTCAGCTGGTAGCAGCCATGGCAGCTCCATGTGGAACCGTCACGGCTGCTCTCAGTGCAACGCTGCGCTCCACTGTACATGCATCAACAAGCTGTTTTCTTGCTCATGTCTGTTCAGAGCGTCAAGTGACCAGCTAGCTACTAAAACCTGAAGCAGGTTTTATGAAGCTCTCCAAATCTAAGATTAGAGCTCAGATGTTTGGATTATAGAGAGACATGCCTGTAGAACTACAGCTCTGTTCAAACTAAACAGAGCTGCAGTCTGCCTTCATGTTCTACCAGACCTCTAGCCTGACAGTAGAAATTATTATCTAGGATGAGGAACACGTTGACAGGAAGTGATGACACGGTTTTTATCTGTCTGG